GTAAAACGACGGCCAGTGCCAAGCTTGCATGCCTGCAGGTCGACTCTAGAGGATCCCCAAAAACTGCTAATTTCCAGAGCCAAGGGAGATATAATGTGCAAGCCGATTTGCGTGAAACGAAAACGAGAAAACAATTCTGCCGAAGACATGTGGTATACTGCAATCGACCCGAAAGGTCTTCTGGCTGGTCAGGAACCTGCGGAACCAAAATCAAGAATGCCCGTCAGTGCGGCCGCGCTTAAGAGTAATAAAATGTAAGATTTATTCATTCGGAAATTTTAAAAGCAACTCAGCAATTTACAGTTTCCTTGCGATGAACACCCCTCCCATCCCTCCAACACGCCCGAAAATGTATGTTCCACCACAGAGACCTTCGTTTAAAGAGGAAATGACAAGAATGGGAAGACCAGTTATGCATCAGAAGTACCAAACTCCATCAACTAGTTCTCCATACGCACGACCCATGATTAAAAGGCGACCATTGCCTCCTCCTGTCAAGATGAGACAACCTATACCAGAGTGGATGGAACCTAAAATGGAACCAGGTCATATAACGAGAGGTAAAGTCATACTGATATTTGCGAGTACTTAGTGAGATAATGAAAACACATTTTCGAGCGAAAGCCCCTTTGTGGAATCTTCTAGAAGCTTCTCGAATCTTTTCTTTTTTGAATTCCCGCGAAAACTGAAAACTTCGAGAAATTAGCGGTTCTTTCGCAATTTTTCGAAAGAACAATTGATTTTTCTTCAATTTTCGCAAAGTTTTCAGACCTTTTTATGTTTTTCAGCTATTTTTAAAGGTTCTTTTTCGAATTTTTGGCTGAAGTTGGACGGGACGACGCTTGCGAAGATTACTGTAGAAAACTTTCTATTTTGTAGTTTTTTTGTCAACAAAATCACGTCAAAATGCAGAAAAAACTAAAGAATAGAAGGTTTTCTACAGTAATCTTCGCGAACATCATCCCGTCAAATTTCAGACAAAAAGTTCGAAATCGAAAAATAATCTTCAAAAATAGCTGAAATACCTGAAAAAGTTACAAAATTTTGCGGAAAATCAAAGAAAAAAGAAAGGAAAAACTATTTTTCTACACATTTTAATGCAAAAGGGACATTATGTGATTTTAATGCTTTTGAAAATTTGTAGAAATCACATAAAACGCTTATGGGACTTTTTACCTAAATACTGATATTTCGTAGCGCAGAATTTTAGTTTCAGGGCCTGCAATGGAACCTGAGTCTTCGTTGACGGAACCCAAAATGGAAGCGGAACCTTCGCTGATGGAAGAAGTTGTGAAACAAGAAGAAGAGAGTGTTTCCACTCCACCCGCAAAGAAGTATTACGCAGTCAGAACGATGCCGGGATCTGGTCAAAAAGTGGTCCGAATCGTGAATGGAAAAATGCTACAGGTGGTCAGACCTCGTGTTCCGTAAGTTTTCTTTTTTAAAACTTTCTTCAACTTCAAATTTTTAGACCTCCGAGCAGCTACATCGCTAACGTGGTACCATCGGCAGCATCGAAAAAGGTGTATTTCGTTCGAACGAAAACCGGTGCTACACATCAGATACATAAACCACCAATTCTATAATCCCCTGTTCAATGTTCGACATATCGCTAATAGTTTTCTATTGCATCAATTCCCTGTTTAGTTTCGCTTTTCGATCTCTGTCTATGTTGTAGCTCAATATTATTTTCTGTCTCATGTTTAACGACTTTCTCCCAGTTCTCATTCAAGTAACTTCCTTTCCCTATCACTTCTCCTCCTTTTTCCAGTGTTTACCCATTTCTAATCTTCACATTTTAATTTGTTGATCCAGAAATTTCTATTCTATCATACTTCCTTTCTTGGTTTTCAAACACTTCTAGATTTCTGTTATTATTTTTTCAAATTTCGTTCGAAACTTTTCGAATTTTTCAAAACATCATAGTAAATACACTTGTCTTTTCTTTCTCACCCTGCGTTTCCATCACATTTCGAAATGAGTCACCACAAACAAATTTCGAAACACTAGCGATTTTTACTATAAAAGACTGACTTCTATCACTGATATGGGCAATTCTAAAACGTTTTCGTTCCATTCGTTTCGAAAATGGACGAAATTCATGAATTCACATCATATCATGGTGATGAAATATTCGTTTTTTAGTTGGTTTACTGGATATGGCAGGGAAACTTTCTCTTGCCATTGCTCGTCCACTTTGAGCCTATATATCTCATTTTCTATGAGAGATATCAAAAAGTCGTTAACTGATAAAATGTTGCTGATATTATGATGAACATTTTATTAGTTGACAACTTTTTGATATCTTTCAAAAGAAGTGAGATATATAGGCTCAAAGTAAACTGTCCTGGTGGCGTTCTATTAGAGTGTTTACGGTATACACGTCATAAGTATATGCCCACCCCCTAATTTGGCGGTTCTGAGGTGACCAAGAATTTTCATGAAAAACGGCTAATGCTATTCAATCCTACTTTTACTTCGTAATAATCGGAAAACTTACCAACCAACCTGTATTTCACCTGAAAAATATATTATTCCGCTTATTCCGAAGTAAAACAGAAAAGTCCTAATTTCAAGAAAAAACGGATTTTGTAAAAAAGTTGACCTATTTCTTTACTAAAAATAAGTTTTATTTTTGTTAGCTATAATTTTTACATGTGAAAACAGTGAGAAGTTCTTTGAAAACAGGAAATATGATCAATATGATCAAAAAATTGATCAAGATCGGCGGTGAAAAATTTTTCTAAACAACGCGCACTAGCGTAATAGCGGAGTGTCGTTGTCGTTTTCATGTGAAAAGCGTGCATGCTATATGGATGCTATATGGGTGCGCCCACCGGCGACCAGTCGTGCCCAGCGACGACGCATATAGTGCGCACGCGCTACCCACGGAATTATTATGGTTGCATATAGCATCCTATATGCGCGCCTAGACATATACCATGCGCAGCCGTTACCCTGTGTAAGAGAAATGTAGACTACGGTCTGATTGAAAACTGAAGATGTCAGTTCGGTGCGTTGTAAACTGAAGAGATCAACTTTGACAGATTCCATTTGCTGATGTTGTCGAGTTGGAGATCTCCTGAATCGTATTATATTTTTCTCATTCATCCAGCTACATAAAAATCGTTGTCTTTCCCCAGTTCGCATTCAACCGAGTTTTTTAGGGTTATTCCCAACGCAACCAGGGGTGCGTCTGATTCTTCAGGCCTGTATGCGTTGAGACGATCCTGGTGGCGGCCTCATATCGTGTTTTCCTTGCTCTAGATAATTTAAATGAGCTTAATGTGACTATTCAAGTGAGATTAATATACTTTTGGAATCGTAGAATACGGAAAACCGTGCTGGAATGGGATAAGTTTATTTTTGGAAATTTTTCTGAAAATTCTGGTAATTTTAGTTTTTCTCTTTTGCTATCTAATCTTCTCCAACAAAAAATCAGCTTTTGAAAAATTTTCAGAATCGAAAAACATGAAATGACCCCAGCATTTTCAATGATCCCGCCTTTTTTCGGGGTGGGCATATACTTTTGACGCGGCCTAAAAATCGGTTTTCTTCCACAAAACGCCTGTTTCGCGAGATATGGTCATGAAAAACTGTGACTGTAGGTTTTCAGCTATGCTGAATTGAATAGCATTAGCCGTTTTTCATGAAAATTCTTGGTCACGCCAGAACCGCCAAATTAGGGGGTGGGTATATACTTATGACGCGCACTGTATATCTGGTACAAAAATTGAAGATGTGGAAGAGAAACCCCGGTGGCCGTCGCCGAAGGCGTCGCACAACGACAACTACCGTAACCTGAAAATGTTTTTTTAATCAATTTTCTCGATTGTCGTGTGTTGTCAGTTAATTTTTCACTATGAAAAGTTTCAATTTTATGACTTGTTTGGGGAAAAAATAGCAGAAAAAACGATGAAAACCAATCCGGAAAATGAAACTATTTTTAGGTTACTGTAGTTGTTGTTGTGGGGCATTCAGCTGCGTCCTCCGGTGCTTCTCATCCACAGCTCACATTTTTTTGTACCAGAATGGTACATAAATTCGTAATTTCATTGCAAACATCTTTTTGAGGTTGACAGTTTTCGTATCCCTTTCCAGAATCTGATCTTGTACCTAAATTTCCTACATTCGTTGCAAATCCACCTTTGCTAATTCTTTTGGTTAAAAAAATAGCTTGCAGAAATGACCGCCACACCAACGATTCATGAGCTTGAGTCTCGTGATCAGAAAATCAGCCAAGTGAAAGTATTCACTGATCGTGCTGAAGTCCGTCGTCTTGTAAAAATATCTCTGAAAACGGGAGTGAATGAAATTGTTCTGAAAGTAAACGATACTTATGAAACGTTCATTTAAAAAATCCACTTTCAGAATTTAACCACCAATTTGACACCTGGATCAATGAGAGTTGAAGGAAGAGGAAATGCGGTTATTCATGATGTTGTGGTCAAAAATGTCGCTGCTACAACGGAAGAAACCGATTCGCCAAAGGTTTGTTTGATAGTTTGTAAGTTAATTTAATACGAATTTTCGGATTTTCAGATTTCTGCAATCAGAGCTTCTCTCCAAGAAGAGAAAGCTCGTCTCCAAAGGATTGAGGACCGTGGAACCGTTATTCAGAAATGTATCACAAATTTGGATTCAGTATTTGGACAAGTTGGAGGAGGATTGGTGAAAGCACCAAAAGATGGAGAAGTTGCTCTAAATGAGGGAACTTTGACCAGTCTAAAACACTTTTTTGACTTCTATGGAACCAATTCCGAGAGCTACAGAGAAAGTGAGTTAAATGAATTCAACAAAAATTAAATGAATTCAACAAAACACTTTTTAGAGCTCCGATCGATTGAAGCCGGATATAGAGATCAACAAGAAAAAGTCCAGAAATTGGAACAGGAACTGAGCCTTATTCAAAATAAGTCTCATCACAAATCCTATTCACAGTAAGTATTATTTTATCAGTTTCCCAATCAAAAGTTCCAATTTTTTCAGATCTGCCATCATCAGTTTGGAATGTTCTGAAGAATGTGAAGCTGAGTTGGATGTGATTTATCAAGTTATGAATGCTGGATGGTCTCCATCTTATGACATCAGAGTGGACACATCGAAGCCTTCCATGAATATAACTTATTTCGGAAAGATCAGACAAAATACAAATGAAGACTGGAATGGTGCTCCATTGGTGCTTTCAACCGCTCAGCCATGTTTAGGAGGGAAAATTCCAGAACTTGGAACTCTCGAAGCCACATTCAGAATTCTTTATACCCCCGTCCGCCAGCACATGCTACCGGAAATGCATATGGGAATGCCTCATGGAATTCAACAACAACAACAACGTGCTCCAGCGGCTCTCTTCGGCTCCGCTCATCCACCCCCACCACAGCCAGAAATGAAAGTTGCAGTTGCTTCTGAAGTAACCCAGAACACACTAAGCACTGAGTTCAAAATTCTGCGAGAAGCAACGATTCCACACGGAACTAAGGATCACAAAGTTACAGTCGGAATTGTGACTCTTTCTCCAAAACTTGTACATGAAACTGTTCCCAGCAAAAACGCTGCAGCTTTCCTCACCGCCTGCGCCGTCAACTCATCAGAATTAGCATTCTTGTCAGGAGACTCGTCTGTGTATCTGAACAATGCATTTGTTGCAAAGGTAAGGAAGTTTTATCAAAGTTCAATCAACATAAAATTTCAGAGTCACTTGAAAAATGTTTCCCCAGGAGAGCGATTCAGTTGTTCTCTTGGAGTGGACACTGCGATTCGAGTGGAATACAAACCAGCCAAAAAATATCACGAAGAAGGAGGATACATCACAAAACACTCTGCAAATGTCACCGAACAAACTGTCTTCGTCAAGAACTCTCGCAGCGAACAACCAGTTCTTCTCACTATCAAACATCATGTTCCACGTAGTACTGATGAGAAGATTCGTGTGAAACTTGTGGCACCAGTTGCCGTTCCTTATGATGCGGAGAAGGCGACAAATGAGACAGAGAATGCAGAACCATCAGAAGGAGCCAAATTCAACTCAAGTAACAATTTGGAGTGGACTGTCAAGTTGGCACCAAACACTTCCCAGGACTTGGTTATCAAATATGTCGTGGAACATCCAAAAGACGAAACTGTTCAATATCGCGAGATCTTTTAACAACCTGCTTATTTGAGGAATCATGAGAATCACCATTTCAAAGAATAAAGTTTCAATGTTCTACCCTTCCCTGATTTTTTTTTGTTGAATTTTGCCATCCGATCACCCGGTTGTTATCTCTTTTTATTTTTATTTCTTTGCTGATTTCTCAAAACTCTCTTAAACTTATTAACCACTATTTCCAGATGAACACCGTTCATGAGTTTGACATTCGCAAACAAGAAATCACCAAAATCACAATTCTCAGTGATCGTGCGGAAATCAAACGATCTGTTCCAGTTTCTATGAAAGCTGGAATCAATGAGGTCCAATTGAAGGTAGGTCATCTATTGGACCATCCGATGCTCATCTGAATTTGTTTCAGCACTTTTCTCATTGTCTCCAAAGTGATTCTGTCCGTGTTGATGGATGTGGAAAATCGACAATTTGTGATGTAACTGAAAAGAATATTCCTGCTCTTCGGTCGGAAACTGACACCGAAAAAGTGAGATACTGAATTATTGAATCGAAGAATTTAGAAAAAATAATCGTTTCAGATGGCTGAACTTCGTAGAGAACTTGAAAACTACGAGAGTATTAAAAAGAAACAGGAAGATCAGAAAGGAGTTATGGTTAAGAAAATTGAGGGATTAGATAGAACAGTAGGAGAGATTGGAAAAGGAGTAATGAATCCGTCAAATGAATCTGGGAATGTCGTAATTGACGAGAAACTTCTCGAAGGGCTACAGAAACTTCTCGATTTCCATGAAACTGAAGCGGAGTCATTGAAATTGAGCTTACGGGAAAGAGAAGAGGAGATTTTGAAAACAGTTGAGAAAATCAATAAAATCAGTAATGAGTTGAACAGAATGAAAACATGGGGACGTTGGAATACATGCCGGTTTGCATCAATTTGATCATATTCTCCTGACACCCATTATTTCAGCGCCGTCATTATCACATTGGAAGCATTTGAAGAAGTCGATGTTCAACTGGATATCACATATCAAGTGTTCGAATCAGGATGGCAACCATCGTATGATATCCGTGTAGATACTCAAAAACCATCCATGACCATCACTTACTACGGAAAGCTTTACAATCGCTGTGGGGAAGACTGGACAGAATTCCCGGCAGTTTTGTCAACCGCTCAACCCTCACTCGGAGGACAAATCCCTGAACTCGGAACTCTCGATGCTCATTTTTATAGACATGTTGAACCAAAACGATCTTTCAATCTCATGAAGAGATCTATGGGGAGAAGGTCTCGCAAGGCAGAAGAAGTAGAGGAAGAAAGGATGAGTGTGGGAGAAGACGATAACGATGTTGAAATGGCACGTACACCGATGGAAGTCAATCATAACACATTGAGCACTGAATTCAAGATTGCTCGAAAATCGAATCTTCCTAACGGAACGGAAGATCACAAAGTGACAATTGGAACATCCGTCTTCACTCCATCCCTGGTCCATGAGAGTGTTCCATCAAAGATAGCTGCTGCTTTCTTAACAGCTTCGGCTGTAAATTCTTCTGTTCTTCCATTCCTACCAGGCGAGACATCAATCTTTCTGAATAATGCGTTTGTTGCAAAAGTACTCTAGTTATATCTAGGCATTCAAATCATTTGTTAAAAATTTCAGAGTCATATGAAAAACGTTGTACCTGGAGAGAGGTTCACATGCTCACTTGGCGTGGATACTGCAATCAGAGTTGAATACAAACCGGCCAAAAAATTCCATGAAGAAGGGGGGTACATCACAAAACATTCCGCTCATGCCACTGAACAAACCATTTCTATAAAAAATACTCGAAGTGAACAACCAATTCTTCTCACCATCAAGCACCATGTTCCACGTAGTACTGATGAGAAGATTCGTGTGAAGTTAGCTTCTCCAGTTGCGTCTCCTTATGATCCAGCAACTACCGTAGAAAACGAAGTTCTGGAGCCGCGAGAGGGGGTTAGAATGAACAAGGATCATAACTTGGAATGGACTGTGAAAATGGCGCCAAATAGTTCCAAGGATCTTGTTATCAAATGGATCATTGAACATGCAAAGGGACAAAACATTATGCTCCAAGAAAAGATTTAATTTAACAACTTTATGCCTTCTGTGATAGTTTGTATGCATGACACTTAAATTTGCAATAAAAATAATTTTATCTATTTTCTATTCGCCAATTCAAATATTTTGCCCATCTGTTTAATTTTATCAAAAGCAACTTTCTTCTCATACTCCAGAAGGCTTTCTTCTACAGACTTCTTGTCCTGAACCAGCTGTGGATTATAAGACCAAGAAGTATTTCTGAAATGAAATTGTCTTTTCCCCGAGGAATGCTGGTCTCACCCTCGAACACATTTATCCAAATCTATCGGGCCTGCAAATGGATTATACCACGTTGACCAGTTCATCGGAGTTGCTTTGAATCTTCCCATCGGAGTCTTTATTAACTGTTTAGTCTTCCATCCATGTAACATGAAACCGTGTTCCGGATTCCATACTCCACTTGTCAGCCATGCATCTCTCACCCAGCCAGTTCCCTGAAATTTGATTAAACGTGTAATTTGCGCAATGTTGGATCAAACTTCACTTTGCTCATGATTCTGACTTTTTATTAAAATCAGAACTTCAGATTTTTCACTAACTGAGGTCGACTTCATATTCTTCAATTTTTTTATCCTCGGTTATAACTGTTACAATTGCTATTTCTTTGTGTCGAACTTCCTGTTTTTCGATCTTTCGAGTTGTATCTCTTTGATTCGCATTGTTGAAAGATAAGGAAAAATAAGTAAGAAGAAAAAGGAACAAAGAAAAAGTTAATAATACTCCGAGAACATTTTTATAACATTTTGGACTGCATCTATTATTTGTTTTCAAAATAGACATGAATTTGTAAAGGGTCGGCTAGTGAGCTTTCACTTGAGAATATAACGGAAAACTCAGGCGGAGTAGACGTCTCAAAAATTATTCACTTTTACGGCTTGCGTTTCCACGGATGAATACTAAACAAGGTGCTTGAGATGATTTATGTTTTTCTGCGTTTTTTTGTATAAATTGAACCGAAATCTTCATTCAATTCAGAAAAACTGTGTCAAATATACATACACGTATCAAAAGTTTGTGTTACCGGAGCATCATTTCCGTCATTCTGGAATATGAATTGACCTGCTGTACTGCAACTTCTTCTTCAAACTTTCGAAGACTACTCAGAATATCTTCTTTATTTCCATGAAGACGTGGATCATACGACCAAGTTTTGTTTTGAGGACTACATCTCTCAAGATATATGGGACCGCCCAATGGGTTGTACCACTCACTTCTTCCCATTTGATTGGGTCTGAAAATGTCTTCCTAAAATTGAAATTTGTATAAACTCACCTGACTCCAACTTCTGGTGTTTGTCTTAATTGATTTGTCTTCCATCCATGAAACATAAAATCAATATCAGGATGCCAAAGCATAGATGTCAGCCATCCATCTCTTGCCCATCCTGTTCCCTAAAATTTTTATGAATTCAAAGTCCCAATTAGAAGTCAGAAATCTTACTTTTCTCATAATTCGAACTTTTCCGAAATCAGTTCCAGCTCCGAAAATTGCTCTTACGCATGCTTCATAAGTGAATAAATCTTGAAAACTATTGGACTTGTTATAAACTTTTTTGCAGATGTTAGTCTCAATTTGAGCGTGTGGAAAGAGCCTTTCAGCCAGGAATATCTGAAAATGTTTTTGAAACTTAATTTAGATATCGCATCTTGACTTACATGAAGTGCTCCGTTGTCAGTTCCATGAAAACTCCTGGGTAATTTGAACTCGTAATCAGCAAACTCTATAAATGCAAATTGTTTTGAATTTCTTTTCAAAGACTCTCACCATTCAGCAAGTCGATTGCATACTGCGTATTTCGAGCAATATACGAGCCAGCCATAATTTCCCAATTATAGAACCGATCGTAGAATGTAACATCTATTCCTTCTACCATATAATCTTCCATTCTTCGTTCTGGATTGACCACTCCAATGTCTGCATCCAGAAAAAGAATGGTGTCAAAAAGTGGAAGAATCTTCGCAGCTGCACAATGACGACGGAAAAATTTCTAGAAACCTTTTAACAGTTTTCAAAACTCCAAAAGTAAATTCACATCTCTATGAGCACAATTGAAGTCTGTATCAACTGCCAACACAAACTCATAATCATGGATTTTGCAATAACATCGAACTGTTTCTGAAATTGTAGAGTTACAGATTTTCTCTCATCAACCTCTCTCTTACGTATAGCAATATCATAATTTTCTGGTTTTGTTTGGTTTGTCACAACCATGACAACTGCTATTCGGTGCCCAGCAGGTTCAGTTGCTTTTGACCCAAAAACTTGGAAATGAACGAGATCAGTGAGCTGAAATCAATATTTCTCAAAGACAATGAAAAAAGAAACCAAACTTACACTTCCATTCAATACGAACTTTTTTCTCAAGTTTTCCGTATTCCATGTAATTGATCCCTGTGGTACCTGGAAAGTTAAAACTACTCAAAAGGGTCAAATATATTTTATAGCTCACTGTGTCAAAAACAAAAATAATGCTCAAATACAAGAAGCAGATAAACGCCAAAGCTAGAAATAGCCATGAGGAGGATTTATAACTTCTTTCAACACCAGGAACCAATGAATATCTTCTGAAAAATTCAAACATTTGAAAAATAGTAAAAAAAAGAAACTCACAATCTCCAGGATGACATTTTTCACTTTGTTCTGTGTCTATTTCTCCTTTTGTTTGCACATTGGAGACACTAAACGATAGCAATTTTTGTGGTCACTGTTATGGTATTGAGTCAAGCTGTGTCAATTAGTTAAATTTGGAATTATTAGTGAGTCAGGCAATGTTCGGGATTAATGGTCTGTTCTGTATGTTAATAGATAAAAAAGAGAAGAGATCCTGAAGCGAAAGAAAAATCCATGTTCTCATTTGAAAGGAATGAATTTGAAATTCAAAAACTCTGCTTCATATTGTTTTTTTCTATTTTGGGATTTTTTAATACAATAATCATAAAACCTAGTTTATGATTTCCTTTTTTCAAAGTCCTTCCTTGTTCTTCACTCTTTTTTTGCACATTTTAAAAACTATATTGCACTTGAGGAACTTGAATGTTGCATTTAGGTCAGTATATCGACGGGCTGGTAAATTTCCTATTTGATAAGGGTCAGATAAGAAACTTGAGTGATGCAATACAGAATCAGCACAAACAAAGAAGTATCGAAAAATGTTAGAATGTGTTCTGCTTCAAACGGATTTCAGATTTGTTGTTTTGAAAGATTAGTTTTTGAAGACGGCGATCCTCCAACTAGGCAGTCAGTTTGTAATTTCTGGTCAGAAGTTGAGGGTTCGGTTTTTGGCCAGATTATGGTCGGAACTTGCCAAAAACAGCTGTATAGCAATCCATACTCGGATTTTAGTCGGAAGTTGAACATTGAAATACTACTAGATCGGAACCTTGACAAAGTTTGTCTGAGTTTTGTACACTTTAGTAGTGGTCTTATCCGAAATCTGATCAACTTCCGACCAGAAGTTGCTGATGAAGCTCGAGAACTTACAGTTTCGATCTCATGAATTTTCATAGTTTTAAAATATATACTTCAAGCCACATCTGCACCACTAGCCCCGGTAGTGCATCATATTTCATGTTTTCCTTTTGTTTTCCCTTCCGTTTCTATGGACAACTCATGTTTTATTTTTGAAGAATTTATTCCGAAAGCAAAGAAAAAAAACGAAAAAAGAGGGACTACACACACTGCAACCCGTAAAAAAGTACAACGAGAATTTTTTTTAGAAACCGTAATCACACAAAAATTAAACGAATGATTTCATCCGATAGAAGAAACGGAACTGTTGCTTTGTAACTTTATTTCGCAGCTCTGTCAAGCTTGTCATCATCTCCTCGGAATCTCCTAATAATCGTTCATCATAGTTCCACGACATATTTTTCGAATGACACTTGTCCAGATGGATAGCACCGACAAGTGGGTTGAACCATTCATACATTGAAGTCTTGACTGGTTTTATTTTTTGATTTGGGATTGTTTGTATCTGACTTGTCTTCCATGAATGAAGCATAAAATCTCCAATTTCTTTGCTCCACACTCCATCGGTTATCCAACTATCTCTCGCCCATCCGGTTCCTTTTTTCAAAATTTTGATACGATCGAATTCAGTTCTGGCTCCCAGAATGGCACGTAGGCACGCCTCATAGGTGAAGACGTCGTCAAAATCTCGGGAATATTTGTATGGTTGACGGCACAAATCGATGGTATACATTTCTTCTGGGAAGAATCTTTCGGCTATGAAGAACTGAAAATAAATTTGTTTGGAATGGTTTGAAAAGCTGGTTTTTGAATTCGGTACTACGAAAAAACGTACATGAAGTGCGCCATTGTCAGTTCCATGAAAACTGTCAGGAAGTGTGGATTCGTAATTTGCGAAATCCATCAAAAACTTAATTGCATATGGAGTGTTTATGACTAGATAAGATCCAGCCATAATCTCCCAATTATAAAATCGATCGTAAAAAATGACATCAAAGTCCTGATACATGTATTCTTCGATCCTTCTCTTTGGATAAACAACACCGATATCTGCATCTAAAAATAACACGGCGTCGAAATTTGGCAGGATCTTTGCAATTATACAGTGACGGCGGAAAAATTGCTGTAACAAGAAAAAAAATGGTGATCGGAATCTAGAAGATCAAAAACCAACATCTTTTTGGTAACACTCAAAATCCTTCTCTACTGCTAGAATATAGTGATATCCTTGGATTTTTGCATAGCATTTTACGGTGCCTGGAAATTAAAATTAGAGTTACATATTTTTGTTAAATGTAATGTCGCGTCCAAAATTCCAAAATCTGGGTTCGCTGGACCCAGAAATTAGTCCAAAGTAACGCCCTTTCCAAAATTTGGAATTCGCATAGTTGAAACCAGTGCGTCGAGACCCGCAAAATTCATGCCGTTTCTCGAGGCTTTTTAACACAATTTTTTTGTTGAAAAAACCGCGCAAACGTTTTCGCGAGTCTCGATGCGATAAGAAGGGTACGATCGCACTGATTTGCACTATGCCAATTGAAAATCATGGGAACCTGGGCGTCATGTCGGGCTGCTTTCTGAGACCAGAGCTCCCAGATTTCAGAACTTTGGACGCCGTACAACATACTGATTGCTATATCGTAGTATTTCGATTGCTCCAATGATCGCAGAACACTGACTATTGCAATTTTGGGTTTTTCAACGACATTGTACTTTATCTCGTCTCCAATGATTTCATATCCAACTGTTTGTCCATCCTGAAATCGATTAGATAAATTTTCACATAATTTTGAATTTTTTCTGGTAGTGTCACCTCTGGATCGTCAGCCAAATACTGTTGTCTCAAAATTTTCAGTTCATCTTGTCTTTGTTTTGATCTCAACTTCAAATAACACTTTTAAACCAAATTCTTTGATAAACCTCACCTGATAATCTATAATTAAAATGAAACAAAATAGGGAAACCATTACAAGTATCCGTAGAACATTTTGCAATTTGAAAAAGTGAATCATTCTGAAGACATATTCTTCATTATGTTGCATTTTCCAACAAGCCGAAAGAGTAAGGAGTGAACGACAAGCATGAAACATATAGATGAGAAAGAAGTAGACATCCAGTTTTTCGTTTTTAATGAGGAATCATATTAATGGAGAGTCAGTTAAGAGATGGAATTCTAAGAATCAGTGCATGAATATGAATACGACTTCTTCGAATTGTCAGGAACGTTACGCAGTTTTTGATCTAATAGTTCATCTCCAGATAAGTTATATTCTGCCTAACTATCAACTAAAAAAGTAGTTAGAACAAATAAAAAGCAAAAAAAATCAATTATCTTCCGAATCCATGTGCATTATTTGTGCAGGCGGAGGAACACTCGTCCTCTGTAGAAATGTCGCTCCGAATTAGAAAAATGCCACGCTAGGTCTTCCGTATCTTCTGAATAATCTGCCAAGAAACAAGAAAGCTTTCGGACGACTTTCTACAGTTCATATCGAGTGACGTATCTTCCCGAAAAATCAAATCCATCCATCCATTCTTCCTTTTTCATAACTTTCGACTTTCCACTAAATTTATTCAATGACCAGACAAGAAACAGTGTAAAATATGTCAACTATAACACAAGAAAATATTGAGAAAAATATGCCTTGAAAAATTACAGCTTTCGCAAAACTAGAGTTCTTTTCAAATGGTCGAATTTGTGTAATCTGTCGATTTCGGGTCCAGTTATCTCCGTCGATGTCTCAAAGTCTTCAGAAAACGTCCCAATCCATTCGTATCCTGGAAAATAACATTATCTCGCAAATCGTCTGTATTGTGGATTAAATTCCTGCTAAAGAGAAGAGACCAGGCATACTGAAAAAACAACACATCGAAACATTTTGGCAACTTTATGAGAAAGATATTTTTACGGTGTGGTCTTTTCGGAAATGTGTTTCTTGATATTTGTTCCAATAGATAAATCGGATAGAGAAACAAATTGTAGTCCGTATTCGGTTCCCGAGAAAATGTATTTCGGGTGATTACCTAGTTGGATATTTTGAATTTAGTGTTTCTCAAGCGCTAGGGGTTTAGTGACTGTAGCGACATCTAGCAAAAAAATTATTTCACTGCAGAATGAGTTGAAAATTGAAAAATATTTCAGGAAATTACGATTCGGCAAAACCTGAAATTCGGAAATCTCGAAATTCAAATTTAAGAAGCATTGAAAATTCAGAAAATTAAGATTAGAAGATAAAGAAGGAGATTCTGAACAATTTAAGGTCTCAAAAATTCCTCACGCCTTGCAACAAGTGGAACCATTTTTTTCAGTGTTTTCGTGAAATTTTTCTGGAATTCAGAATTCTTTTTCTAAACTCGAAAAACTGTATATCTCCGAATTTCTGAGTATTTCAAATTACCGAGTCTTTTGACTTTCTGTTTTTCCTAAATTCAGAGGAGAGACACAAAAGATTTAATCGAAGATTTGAACAGATATATATATAGCAGTGAAAAAAAATACTGATCCAAAACTAATTCAAAACTTTGGACTTCAAGAAGAAAATTGTCGATGATGCTAAGAAAACCTGAAACTTTTTCTATACAAAAATCATTAATTTTATCACTTTTTCTGGTTTTCCCATAAAAAAATGCCAAAAATGTTTTCATAAGATTTCGGATTCATGCAAAATTTACTTGTTTTTTTTCTAGAACATCAAAACAATCCAGTGAAAATTCTACAGAATATCTTCTGATAGAACACATTCTAAAATTCGGAAAAATACTAATTATAATTTTTCCAAAACAATTATTTTTTTCAAATTTCTGTATTTCAGAATGGGCTCTATCAGAAATAAGGATATATTATCACGGTGGCGAAATGCCCCGAAGCCGTAAAATGTGCTACATATTTAAATAACAAAACCGTACCAGCAATCAACATAGGTAACCTCGCATGTCCGTAGATCCTCTTCTGATTGAATATCACAGCGTCTCTACCCATAGGAATCCCCAAAAAGAACAGTCCTCCCTTCTTCAACGAACATCCCAACATGGCCATCATTTGAAGGTCTCCGAATGCATCCAACACATCACCATAGCGTCCTAATCCAACACTTTCAATTGTGCCCCATGTTGCCACAAAATCAAAAGCCTCGCTGTATCTGAAGGCATCAATTGATCATTTAATTTTAATTCAAACAAACCTCCGACGCTTCTCTGCAAACTCTAAAAAAGACATTGACGAAACATCCTCTGTCTCGCGAGCCACCTGTCCAACAGATAGGATATGAGAGGCACCTGAAATAACACTAACGAAACATTGCTCAAAGTGAAATTTTAAACATTGAAGATCAAAAAGTACAACACCTAATTCTGGTTTAAAAAAAACCAACCATTCTGAATCGCTTGAACTTCGACGATCGGATGATCACTGGCCAAAACAAGCCCTCGTTTTCCAGTCAGATAATAATTCTTCATCGCATAGTGCATTGATACTGAAAAAAAGAATGCCAGAATAAATAATTGTTCACACAGTAATCCACTAACTTCCAGACATGTCATCAACCAGTCGAAGTACATCTCTCGCATGCCATGTCACAATGTCAGCAATGTTTTCCCAGCTTTTATAAGTGATGTTCAGTTTAGCTCGGTCATCCGAATATTTCTAATATTTTATGGGTTACGATTTTGAAAAACTCAGTTTCAACTCACATAAGATACTCCACTATATTTATTTGTTAGAAAATCTCGCTGACCTCCGTCCGGAAGGTAGGCTCTCGGTCGACGATTCGTTCGATTCTTTTGAACTTGCAACCAATCTGTGAACTCCTGAAATGTCAAGTTTTTGATTTGAAAATATATGATATTCCATTTACCCAAGTACAATTCATCTGATAGTTAGAAACCACTGTTACAAATGGATAAGTAGGACTTGTCAAAGTGTACCCGTATTTCTTGTACAACTGAAAAAGTATTGAAAAGTTTCTGAAGTGTGTTCATTTTCATGAAACACACTTCTTCTCTGAACTCTAAAAAACTAATATCTCCAACATGAGTTCGAACGTTTTGTCGAAGATAAATGGTGGGATCTTGGAAAATCGTTCTCGTCTCTCCTCCGTATCCATATGTATTTCACATAACTGTTCTTCCAAAGTGTATCGTGTTAGCAATAAATCTGTAACCCCAAACAATTTTTTTTCGAAATTTTCAGTTCTCTACTCACACTTTGTTCAGGTAAAAAACAACGATACATGTACAAATAAGCAGCAAAACAAAAAATCGTGTCATCGCGGTGGAATAATAATGGAAACAAAAGCAGAGAAGAGGGAATGGAAAAGCAGAGAAACAGTTTTTAGTATCGGTTGGAGAGTTTATGGTTCCGAGAGAGAAAAGCTAAAATGATATCGATTATAAAAATATATAATACGGTTTTCTACAGCGGTTTTTTTGTCAGGAATAACAATCACCGTATTACCTCTAATAGAAGCCCACCCAAACCACCAACTTTGATCCCGATTATCTCTGTTCCTATAAAAGATATACACATTTTGACAACTGATAAAATATTGGTGATATTATGATAAATAATTCATTAGTTGGCAAGTTTTTGATATTTTTCACAGGAATCGAGATAATTGAGCTCAAAAATGGCGGATTCTGTGGGTTCTATTAGAGGGATTACTATATTTATTTTCAAGGTTTTTCAGCGGCCTGATGAAAATCACTATTGATTTTTTTTGCATTTCCCAAAGTTATGTATTTTCGTAATATTTCTTTGAAACAATCCAGAAAAATTCGAAAACCCCGAAAAAACGCAGTTGAAAATTCAAGTTTTTGTCCAAGACGGTCGCGGGAATCCTAGTCCACGGCCACTGCGTGCATTGTTTTTTCATGCATTGTTTCAGATTTTTTTGCCGGCATTTTGCTAAAAATTACTTTAAAAAGTTGGTCGGAGTCGCATTTAATGAGCCATTATTTTTTACTCATAATCTTTGACTGTTCAAACCATGAAAAGGCAATTCGTAATATGAAAGCAAGAATACACATTAAAAAATGACTACATGTAATTAAAGTTTTCTCAAAACAATAGTGTTTTGGGTCATTCCGAAGATGTTTCTCGAATGAAGTCGTTCTGCAGTGAGGTCATTCGGTTGCTCAGTATTTCCAGAAAATGTTCCAAGCCACTCATATCCGTAGAACATCATTGCAAGTCGAACGGATCCGTAGATACTGTGAGCGTTGTATTGAATAGCATCAGTACCCAATGGAACTCCAAGGAATAGAAGACCTGAGCAATAATCATAACATTTTTTTCGTAAGTGGTAAGCTAACCTCCTGGTTTGAGGATGCATTTAATTTTGAGCATTTCTCTCAAATCCCCTATTGGATCGATTGGGTCTCCATATCTTCCCAATCCAGAATGCTCGATGGATGAGAAGGATGCAGCGAAGTCAAATTTGTCTGCGTATCTAAAATGTAATCCTTTTTTCTGTGGGATATTTGTGTTCAAGAGTTCAACATGTTTTAACCAAACATGCTGCTCCCAATAATGCTGTATCCAAATACACCGCCTTCATCAACCAATCACTATAGCTTCAATAATTATTGTGTTTTCTCTATAGAAGCTCACCCTACACGGGCACTTGAGCTCAATTATATCGGTTCCTATGAGAAACATCAAAAATCTGTCAACTGATAAAACTTTGGTTACATTGTGATGAATAATTTATCAGTTGAAATTTTTTGATATCTTTTGAATGAGTTTGGAAAAACAGATGCATTGCTCACTTACTTTTGCCAATTCGACACAAATTCGATGGGAAGAATCGAAGACATTCGATCTCTGAATTCCTCCTGTATTTCTAGTTTATTGTATTCTACAGTCAGAACTTTCGATGCTCCTGAAAACGGGTAGGTGAACTTTCGGCATAAAAACAAACTTACCATGCACAAGAGCTGAAACTTCCACCCATGGTTGCATACTTCCAATGACAACTCCACTCTTTCCATCCAAACGATGAAACTTCATTGCATCATATATGGAAACTAAACAAATCGATCAAAATAATACATTTGAGGTGATATTTTACCTCCGTCTGTTCCATATGCCAATCCTCCCAATTTCTGCCTGGGCCACTTGATCATATCCGAAAGTTTATCCCAATTTCTTGGTCTCTCACCCTTGTCCGAATTCTTGTCGTTTATGTACCACTGAAAATCTAAATTGGCTATTAATAATACTCTTTTAAGAGACCACCTTGTTCATGGCTGTGTAATTGTAAAGCAAGAACTCATCCATACGGTCGGATGGGATCTCCTTCGGTGGGTACTCTGGCTGTGGAAGCTCTGAGATTCTCTTCCATTCGGAAAATACCTAAAAATATTTTCGAAAGTTTCTTTCAAAGTTTCATGTTAAGCGAGTATCTCAAACTCACCGTCTCACATGTTGGTTCATTGGTCATCCGGAGAGTTGGAACGGGGATAGTCGGTTCGAGAATATCATATCCAAGCTTTTTGAAAACATTCTCATTCAGCTCGTCTAATGAAACCAGTCCTTTGTGTGTCTTAACACTAACGTTTTTGTGATTGGTCACAGTCGGTATTATAGAATTGAACCCTTCAGATCCTCGAAGTTTCAAAGCAACTTCTGCCAAATTCGTGTACCCATTTCTATCTTTTATCAGCCTACAATAATTGCTTTCATTTTCAGAGGACAATTAAAAAACTAACAATATCGCTATCATAAGAAGAAGACCAAATGCAAGAGTAAAATGAATCGGGATGGTAGCACATTCGGATGTGCTCTGTTGATCATTTTTTGTTCGCTTTACTTGAAATGATCACTGGAACAATGCATATAATTTTATTTACACATCTGCACAAATTTTATTGGAGGGTGGAGAAAGGCGGACGGTCCTAATGATTTTTAGGGAAGCATAATAGATTGGTTTGGTTTTCGGAAACTGTGAAAAAAGCACAGAGACATTTTCAAGATCACAAATTTTATTTCTGGGTTGTCAGTTCTTGAGAAAGAAAAATGTTTAACACGATAATTCAACCGAAACTGTCAAGGTGGATTAAAAGTTTTTTTTTGGAAAATTTTTGTTGGATGTTCATTTTTCTTATTTCAGCTTCAAATCTTCATTGAATAATAGCTACGAAAAGAAAGTTTTAGGAATATTTTTGTTAAAAAGAAAACAGTTTATTTTCTCACTATACAATAAAGATCAAAGTTTCCTCAAAACCATCGTGTATTGTGCCTGTTGAAATTTAACTTTCGAATGCAAATTGAGAGAATTCAGATCAAAAGGCTGTTCTTGTTCTCCATTGAACGTTGACAACCATTCGAAGCCATAAAACATTAACGCAAGACGAACGGGACCGTATATTCTGTGTGCATTATATTGAATCGAGTCGGTTCCCAGTGGGAAGGCAAGGAATAGTAAACCTGGAGATAAAAATATGGAAACAAAATCATAGGTCTACAACGATATCACCTCCTTTTTTGAGAATGCATTTGATCTTCAACATTTCTCTCAGATCACCAATCGGATCTAGCGGATCTCCATACCGTCCGAGTCCCGAGTGTTCGATGGATGAGAATGAAGCAGCGAAGTCAAATTTCTCATAGTAACTAAAAAAATCATTGTTTGAGTGAATTGAATAGTGACCTACTCTCTATACTTTTTTACGAATTCCGATGGAAGTATGGCAGACATTCTGTCCTTGAATTCGTCTTGTATTTTTAATGGATTGTATTCAACCGTCAGAACTGTTTTGGCACCTATATAAATATTTGAATAAACATTATTGTCTAAAAAAAGCACAAACCATTTTTCAGGGCCATAACTTCCACCCATGGTTGCATACTTCCAATAACAACCCCACTCTTTCCATCGAGGCGATTAGCAGCCATTGCATGATACATTGACACTGAAAGACAATTTTGGAATTGAATCTTGGCTATCAATTAGTCATACATACCGTAAAAACTCTTTCATTTTCCGGACACAGGTGGATCGCGAGGAACGTTATATGGGATCGCGCGGTGCTGTATATGCTCGCATACGAAACAAATATTGTCAATTCAAAACAATCGCGCGGATAAACGCACACACAAAGAAGTAAACAACCTGTCGAGACGCTCCGCCCCTTTTTGAGGCGCGGTCTTCACAAAATAGCCAAATTGTCTTCAAATTCGAACGAAATTTGGTGAAAATTACCAAAAAATGGCTTGAATAAAAAACCATGAAAAAAAATGTGCGGCGCCTTTGCACGCCCACAAAACCGTGCCTCAAAAAAAGGCGGAGCGTCTCGACAGGTTGTTTACTTCTTTGTGTGTGCGTTCATCCGCGCGATTGTTCTGAATTGACAATAGCGGGCATAACGAACGCTATATGCGCACATTCACAATATGGGCCACAATGCGCCCATATAGTGTTCTGCGCGATCCACCTGTGGATCAAAGAAACCAATTTCCATTACCTGATTCTTTGTGATATGCCATTTTACCCAGTTGATCTTTAGAATAATCCATTAACTCTGATATCCTATCCCAGTTTCTTGGTTTCTCTCCAAACAACGAATTCTTATCATTTATGTACCACTGAAATCAACAAAAATAGAATAGTCGTAGTTGTAACAGACTGTACCTTTCCTAGTGCTGCATATCCAAAAAGAAGAAATGCGTCTGAATCCCGGCTTGGAATTGTTCTTTGTGGTTTATCAGGTTGTGGCTGTTGAGATACTTTCAGCCATTCTGAGAACACTAATTCACAAGTTGGTTCATTGATCATTCGTAGTGTTGGAACTGGCAGAGTTGGAAGCTCGATTTCATAGCCAAGAAGTTTGTAAACCTTTTAAATCTCTGGTATTCTACTATTTAATTCATGAGAATCAAACCTTTTCATTCAACTCGTTCATAGTCACATATCCATTATAAGTCTTCACATTGTATTCATTCAAGTCATAATTTGATAATTGTTTTGAAATTCCTGTCTGGTTGCTGGGGTATCTTAATCGGGACTTTAGTGTTTCCAGATTCCTTGTTGAGTCGGAATTGTTATACCTGGAAAACCAAATTTTGGCAAAACTTGTTTCTGAAATTAAAACTTACACAGTGAAAACAAAAATCAGAAGACCAAGAGTAATCAAAATTGCCAAAAAACGGCGAAATGGGACATTGGGATCCGCTCGATTAATAACCATTTCCGGGAAGTCTTTCAGGAAAATAGGACTTAAAATTAAATCTAGCTGTGTCTTGAGAAGTCCAGGAAGAGTAAAATTAAGAACAAGAATAGATATCTCGGAAGAGAATCTGAGTCGTGTCCTTTTCTTTGTCCTCGTTACGAATGACTCGGAAAACCGTATCGAAATGGATAAGCATCTCCAATCTGGATGTAGTCTGGCTTTTCTGTTACAATAATTCCTGAAGATCAAAATCCTTTTTTGAAACTTCTGAAAAAGGAACATACGCCTAAAAATGGAAGTTCTCTTTCTATCCCTTTCGATGAATCGTGAAAGTGTTAATCCGTCTGGTTTCACTTGCCAGTCGAGCTATTACTGTTTCTTTCGGTACTTTCACATTTTACAATACATCCGATTCTAGTAATATGTTTTTCTACATCCTTGTTGTATTTTCATTATTCAGTTATGCTCATTCAATTAAATGTTTTGGAGGTATTGCCGAGTTTGGAATTGATAAAAGTATAATTCCTCAACTCTTGAGATTCCAATAATGCTTTCATTTTAGATGACTATGTCGACTACATATGTCCCTCGCTGACATCTTGCTACATACGATTAGTTGTTGAGAATGTGAATAAGCCGGATCAAAAGGCAACAATGATGAAGGGATGCTTGGAGAAAGCCATGGAAGAATCTTATCAGAATGTGGTAGGCCTTGAAAACGTTTATCAATAAATGAGTTCCTATTTCAGCCAATGTGTTCAACTATTGACTTCTCCAATATAACCAGTGATGATGCGATACCGTCGGAAATAAAATGCACATGTTCTAGAGTGAGTTGATACCACAATCATTGATTTATTAATCTGCACTTCTTAGGATTTCTGCAACGGGAGTTTCGAAGAAGATCCCAACATCACTCCTGGAATATCTGCGAGCTTCTTGAATTGTATTCTCGTTATTAGCATTTATTTAATTTTCTAGGTTAATAAAAACTACAAAAATCTTTATTAAAATTGTCTCATGTACAATACAATTTGTACAATACATCAAACATGTCACATAAAAACTGAATCATTACTCTGCGCATCGACTGATCCGAATGCATTATTGTCGAAGCCAAAACCATACAGGTATTGTGATGAACCTGCAAAACCGTTTTCATGACGAACTTTCAAAAAAACTGACCAGATATATGTCGATGATCAATCATATCAAAATCAAGGTCTGGTTCGAATGCTGTACTCTTCCTCGTCTTCATGTCTTCCTCATCTCCTTTACTCTTCCACGTGGATTTTCTACTCATCGCAATTCCTTCTCCAACATCTCCATTTGCCTGCCCTCCACCAGCAGTTCCCATTGCACTCACCTAAATCAAAAAATTACAAAAAGAAGTAGGGGGCACCCGGAGTTGAACCGGGGACCTCTCGATCTGCAGTCGAATGCTCTGCCACTGAGCTATACCCCCACATTGACATTAAGAACGAAAGAAAAAGATAATCGGCGATACGTGTGGTCATTCGATAACGGTCAAACACTGCCTATTACGTTCGACGATCAACAGAACGCTCACAGGACAAAGTATACAGTGAGAGAGTGAGAGACGCAGACACTTACATTTATCATCATTCCCATCCTTGCAAAAGCGCCAAGTTGTGCCATACCAAGACCCAATCCACGATTGATATTGATTTTCTGGGCCATCTGAAAATAGGAACTCTTTGGACATGTAATCTTTCGCCTTTTCAGTTGTATCAACTTCTGAAATAATTTCAACAAAACAGAAAAACAATGTTGTTTTACTAGCTGTATGCTTGAGCTTTCAAAGTTACTATAAAAAGTTAAGACGAGTCTATAACAGAATTATAAGAGGATAAGCATGCAGCAGTTCATCTACATCTTTCTCTTAATCGCATCATTTTCAGAATGTCAAATAACTCCAACCAATAGCACTTCCCCAAACATTCTTTGTGATATTTGCAATTCTGGACTTTCTATTGCCCAATCTCAATTATCAGCTCTAGAAGCTATTGTAGAGAATAATTTGGGATCTCTGGTGAAGGTGAAAGTCTCACTCTGATAATCAATCTGATGGTAAACGTACGCTGAAATTATTTCAGAAAATGTGAGACATGGCTCCAACAAACATTCCCATTGTGAAAGCTTTCTGTGTAGTTCTCCAGGATGATTTAGTGGATGCCTTGATAACGTTAATTAAAGGATTAAAGGATCAAACAAGTCCAAACCTTCTCTGTGGATACTTGAACATGTGTGAGAAGAAGATCATGTTCAAATGAATGTGTCCCAATTGTGCTTTGTTTTCTCAAGATAAATATTCACCCAATATTTAATTTTCTGTGCTCCTTCTCTATGAAAAATGTGTTCATTGGACACTGTCCATCTACGAGCACAATTATCTCCAAAACAAGTCAGCACTATCATTGGAACATGTACGTAATGAATAACAAATGACGCCTCTCCTCAATAAACCAGTATAAAAGAGTTCTGAATCGAGTAGACTCTCATAATTCAAAGATGAAACTATTATTCCTTCTCTGTGCTTTCCTAGTGATCTGTTCTGGACAGACTATTCAGCCACCTTCTAATTGTGAAGTTTTCTGTCATTTGTGCCAGGAAGGATTCGGTTTCATGCAGAAAAATATTGCCTTACTGGAATCTATCACTCAAAATCAACTAAGAGGATTCATTGATGTGAACTTTCAACCGAAAATATGTGCATAGATGGTAAAATTTTTCAGCACTTATGTGAAATCGCCCCTTCCATAGATATCGTGAAACTGGTATGTGATGTCGCGAAAAACGATTTCGTGGAAGGCATCGACAAATTTCTGGAATTTCTCAAACAAAACACGGATCCTTTGACCGTATGCCATCAGTTATCCGCATGTTGACCTTCTTTTGAATTTCAAATAAATATTATTCTCATGAATATAAAAAGGATGTTCTCCATTTACTGTTTTGCTTGAAATTCGGGCGATGGGAATACTGTACTCCATTTTCAAAAATAAAGTGATTTCCGTTTTGAGAAACCTCTTTCATGTTGAGAGAACTGTGAGGATAGTTCAAACTGGATTGAAGCAAGTATGAACTCCGAATCCCAATTGTACGGTCAATTGTGAAAACTATACTCGAAAAATTCCAGTCCGGGTTAAAAATATTCAATTTAGTTGGGTTTTACTGTAGTGAAAAATTAAGGAAATTTAAGCTCTATCTGATTTCAGCGGTTCCTAGAGAAAATAGCGGTCCGCTGCATACTTGTAAAATTCCGGGCCTGCCCGCCAAAGCCCGGGCCCGGGCCGGGCCGGGCTTGATGAAAGTTCACATCAATGAATCCTGTTAGTTGAAAATTTTCAAGGCCCGGAAGGTCCGGTGTCAAAAATTCTGTATTTTTGAGCCAAATTTTGAGCTCTCAATATAATTTTTTCCGTTTTTATCGTATTTCGAATTGTTTGTCTGTATCACATAAGGGTCCCCCTTATGTGTTTTTTGAAAATTTCGAAACTAGTGAAATGACGGGCCGGGCCTCCGAAATTCCGGAAAAAGCCCGGCCCGGCCTGGCCCGTTACAAGTATGGTCCGCTGTGAAAATAGCGGTCCGCAGGGAAAATAACGGTCCGGGGAGAACATAGCGGTTCGAAAAGAAAATAACGGTCCGAAATGAAAGTTGACACTGAGTGTTCAGGAATCACTTGTAAACCTTGTTTTCGATCAATTTTCGATTAGTAATAGAATGTTTTAATTTTTGCCAAGTTAATTGTCATTTTATAATACCTAAAAAGTTCAAAAATGTTCAAGAACTTTTCCAGGAAAGTTAAGAATATGCTAAAAAATCTAAAATATCTTTCCAAAGTCTAACTATACCGTTTTTGTTGGAATAAAATGCCACTATTGCACTCTGAATTCAATTACCTATATTTCTGTGAGAGATATCAGAAATATTTGAAACTCGTTTTGGAACTTTTTAAAACTCGTTTTTTTCAGTTCGGGGTTTTGGAATTTCTAATATATTCTAAAAGATTCTAGACTTTTTTTCTGTGTTTCGCTTCTCAAATAATGTAAATTTTTTTTTCTCCATCTTAATTCTCATCTGAGTTTTAGTAGAATTATCAGAAGTCTCCATTATCTGAAAAAATCAAGTAAGCTGTTGGAACCTTTTAGAAAATCGAAGCACTTTAAAATCTTTCAGAACTGAGAGAAGTTCCAAAAAATATTTATGATATTTCTCACAGAATGAGAGGTTATCAAGCTCAGAGCAAAAGTGACATTCTATCCCAGCAATAACGGAATAATTAGACTTTAAAAAAATGTTTTAGATTCTTCTAATATATTCTTAAATTTCCTGGAAAAAAATGTTCTTGAACATTTTTAAACTTTTCAGGTGTTATATAGAAAGTGAGTTTTAGTGAGTCGTTCATAGAAGCAAATGATAATTTGCCTTCAATTAACTAGGAAGTAATGAAAAAATTCTATCATTAATCGAAAATTGATTGAAAACAAAGTTTAAAAGTGATTCCTAAATACTCAGTGTCAACTTTCATTTCGGACCGTTTTTTTTTTCGGACCGCTATATTCTCCCCGGACCGTTATTTTCCCTGCGGACCGCTATTTTCACGGCGGACCGTTATTTTCTTTAGGGATCGCTGAAAACAGATTGGGCCGAAATTTATTACGTTAAGTCCAGAAAGAATTGGTCTGGCCGGACCTTGCAAGACTAATCATAATCCAGAATTTTTCGGTTTTGCCAGGTCCGCCAGATATATTATACCTATACTTGTTTTTAAAAAGTATATTATACTTATTAAATAAGCTGTCTAAAACAAAGTCTACAGTCCGAAATTTGAGTGTGCTGTACAAACAAAACATAGAGCTGATAGCAAAAAAAGCACTTTGCAGTTGAAAACAAGTGGGCAAAAGTTTAGATGAATGATAATGAAAAAGATGATTAACAGCTTTGGAAGCTGAATAAAGTTAGGAAAAACAAAAAACAAGGCCCATATAAAAGCACTGTGTAAGCAGGTTGTTTTACTCCATATCAATTGTTGCACGATATGTTTCGCACTATTGTTATTCTCGTTTTAGTTTCAACTCTGTCTCAAGGATTCTCCCTGGTAAATGTACGTTTTGGTTAGCGCCAGCACTTATGACAAACTTTGAAAGTTTTTTTCAGGATAATCCTGGAGATTATCTAGTTTGCAATGCGTGCCAATTTGTAGTCACTCTTGTGGAGCCCCATCTGAAAGCCATGGAAAATACCATTAGAACTGATCTAACCACTTTCGCTGACGTAAATTTCTCACACTAATTCTTATTAAGAAAGCATTCATATTTTCAGAAAGCTTGTGCCCGAACCCCGGATCTTGAAGTGTTCAAGACTCTTTGTACAACAGTTAAGGATGATTTGATTGATGTTGCTGTTCAACTGGTCGAAGCTTTGAAAAGACAAATCAATGGAAATGTCACTTGCAAAGCTCTCAAATTTTGTCCTCCATAGCTTACACTGAGCATTTTATCCGCGATAATTTTTGCTTTTCCGACTTGACGACCCATATAATGAATGTGATGAATTATATTAGCTGCCACGACATCAACTAAAAGTTTACAGATTTAAAAAATGGTTTCATTAAGTTAACTCACTAGCAATGGTTACCAGAGCCACACCAAAAACGATGAAGATTATGATTACGTAGATTGGAACAGCGGGACTGGAAAATACATTTTGGTTTAGGCATACAGTATCGGTCTAATAAGATATACAAAAAATACCTTTGATTTTCGGTTATGGCCATTTTCTGGAGTCTGGAGCTCGGCTGTCAAGTTTCTGGTCGCTTCGGAAATTTTGGACTGTGTTGAACCGACCTAGATTAAAAAGTTTGTATTTACAGCACTTCTTGAAAATTCCAAGTTTTTCAGTTATTTGCCTATTTCTGAAAAACACCCCTTTTGGCCCATTTTTGCAATGAAAACGTGAAAAAACAGGCGGATGTCTAAAATCGGCAAATAGCTGAAAAACTAGGAATTTACAGAAAATTCTGTGAATGCAAACTTTTCAATCTAGGTCTGTTTTAAGCCCTCTAAAATTTTTTAGGGGATCAGAAAATTTAGAGCCGAGCTCCGGACTTCTTCTTGTTTATCTCATTGACCGGTACTGTATCTGCTACACAGTGTTACCTGATATCTCCATATCCTATCGTAAAAATAGTGATAGTACTGAAATATATTCCTTCTATCATTGATACTCCTGTCACATTTGAATAAGCGATTCCTCCTATCAACGAGTACGCAACCAGAAGAAACAACAGAACCACCATAAACGCAGTGATATTCTGAAACCATTTCTGATATTCTAGTCCAATTTTACATTCCGAAACCTCGTGAAAAAACTTGACGAAAGCATCGGCAAAAAACTTTCCAACATCTGACATCATGACAAGAGCGAGAGGGATTCCGCAGGCAGCATATATACAGAGAACAAGTCTTCCAGTTGATGTCAACGGAGCAATGTATCCATATCCTTCAAAAACAAGAAAGGAAAAACATAGACGAATAAGTTATTAGGCTTACCAACAGGAATGATAGTTGTGGCAGTGAAGAGAAGAGAAGAATCAGTTGTCCAGAGGGGAGTGTAGTTGGCTCGAGAATAAAAAAGACAGTCAAACATATTTGCAGCTACCTGAAAACAGTTTCAAATGTATTTATTAAAATAAAAATTGATAACCGGATCCTTGAAAAGTAGAAAAATGTGTTTGGAGTAGTCGTCGATTAACCGAGAAACAGAGGCATTAACTCTCCATTCATCTGGTGCATCCTCCAGTTTTACCCGCTCAATATCCATCAAAAATTCGTGTCGTAAACTGTCGAATTTCTTTGAAACTTTTCGATGAATTCGTTCCTAAATTTCATGATCCTAATTATTATATTTCAACGTCATCTCACCTCTTCTGGACTTTCAATATACATGAAGAATAAGGCTCCCACATGCACATACAGTATACAAACAAGAATCAACCCGACATGAAGTCCACCTTGTCTTGTTAACTGAAAGACCAAGTTCATAGGGAATCAGAAGAGTGAGTGCACATACGTGACGAAGCCTCCAGAATACACTTCTTTTCTTCACTACTACCACTGGTTGCCCAGACATGATAGCAGCAAGTCCTCCAGCTTTTCGAGCCATTTTTGATTCGACTAATGAAGAAGGAAGGTTGAAGTTTGAACAGGAGAAAAAAGAAAAAAAGAAACTGAAAGAAAAAGGAGCCACGAGAGCGAGTTTTTATGGTTTATCCACTCCGAATCGGCAGTGCTTTTTGGTGTGCTCCTCCTTCTTTTTCGACGTCTTCTCAGGAATGCATGGAGAAGGGACCGTGTGGAAATCCATTGGATTCGGTTTAAGAATACGACCGTCTACATGCGTTTCGTTTTTTATGTGGTGCACTTTACATAGCGAATTCACAGAATTCAAACTTTCTCACAATATTTTTTGTCTCCTTGAGAAATACGAATAAAATCGAGCTTCATTTAATGCGCGACGACTACAGTATGCCGCCGATTTTTTTTTCGGTTTCTTCTGTATTCAAACTCACTTCAACTGCCCCAACAATCATATGTCACAGCTTTTTTCTATATCAATACTCACAAGTAAGCACAGATACACAATTTCCCCTTTCCCCCTCTTTCTCGCTAGTTCGAGAGAGACGACGTATAGAGTAAGAGAAAAGGAGTCTGCATGTGTACACAACAAAACTGTGCTTCTTTCGTGATCAGGTGGCCGAGTGGTTAAGGCGATGGACTGCTAATCCATTGGGGTTTCCCCGCGTGAGTTCGAATCTCATCCTGATCGAATTTCTTTTTTCGTATGTTCGAAGGCCTTCGGTGATTTAAACGTCCGGCTGGTGCGTCGCTATTTTGTTTAGAAACCTGTTTTTGAAAAACGGAATGAGATAGAAAGAAGAAAAAAAGAGGCACCACTCCATTTATTTATTATGTTTGAAAACATTTTTTATCTTTCAAGTCAGACCAACAGAAACAATGTCAATTATCCGCTTATAAATTTTGTCGACAGCATCTGTTCCCCATATGAAATGCAGATGATTGTAGTTTGAAATCTGGTAGCTTCCCTGTAACGGAAACTAATGAGATGGTGAAAAAAAAAGAAATTGTTACCTGAACGACTTGGGGATTCAACTGTGTGAACAACGTCTCTTGCAGGTCCTGTTTCGTCGATAGCCAATCGTCTTCACTCCAAAATAAATGGATGGGAATGTCGGAAATACTTGTAAAGTTGTATTGCGGTGGCAGTTTCTGTCCATACTTTTGAACGTTTTTCTCCTCTCCCATATCGTATGCAGGTATTCCACCATACGAAAACATTTGATCCAGATGTGCCATAACATTACTAGAAGATCCGGCAGGAGTATGAGCCAAATAAACAGGGACCCTAGTTTGATTCCAGTTCTCACTAGACGTTCCAACGAACAACATTGTAATATCCGAACATAGTTCCTCCAGAGTATCAAACAATCCACATGTATACTTCACTATTTTTTTGAACAACCAAGAACTTCCAAACAATTCATCGGACCCATATTTAGTCACATACTCTTGGTAATTTGCTCCAAAATGTCTTCCAAGAAATGAAAACACACCTCGAGCATATTTGATTGTGCCAACTGGAGCAAGTGCAAAGTATTTCTTTATCTGGAAAGAAAAATTGATAAGAAAATGTGGTTCCTCTGCAGAATCTTACGTAGCGGCTGAAAGAAGGATCAACTGAAAGTTTGGCAAACATCGTCAATGTACCCATGGAGAATCCAGTATAATACAAAGATTCTGCTCCACTGACTTCCAACGCTTTCCCAATCATTGCTGGTAAATCATATTTAGATATTTGGTCCCAGCTGAAACAAATCTTTCGTAAATCTTCCCTCATTGCCATATTTTTTGTCACCTCCAATTCCAGAACTCTCGATCTTTGTCCGGATTCAGAGTGACATGCTTTCGGCTGTATGTGTTGCCGCGGAAATTGCCCAACCACACATCAAAACCGGCGTCAGCGAACACAAATCCAGCACTTTGATGAGGCAAATTGGCGACCCAATCAAAACTAGAGCAGAGAAAACCGTGTTGAAGGAATATCACTGGTCGTGGACGGTCATCTAGGGATGATATCGGACTGTCTCGACCATATGGGATACGATGAAGTTGAAGTATGAAACCGTCTTTTGTGGTGACATTATGAACTTCCACTGGGTAACCCCAAGACTTGATTACTTCTGGCTGAAACATATATTCTTATCTTTTTGATATCACATCATTTGAAAATCAATAAATGACCCCTATCAAACATCACTTACCGTATCCAAATAGAATTCCAGATCCACACTTTTTGTGTAACTTGAGAGCAAAAGTAACAGTAATAAAAGTAGAGACAGCATAACAGTTATCAAGTCACCTATTTTCTCTCTCATTTTGTGTCCAATACCTATTATTTCCTTATTTGCGTCCTATCATCCAATCGGTTTGTTTTGTCTGGAGTGAACTGTACTCTGTCGGGAGCTCCAGAAAACAAAAACTGATTCGATGATAATCAATAACTCTCCTCTCCTCCAGTTCATTTTTATCAGTTCGCCCTTGAGAATTTCTCTAGAAAAATTTCCAGCAAACAACTTTTTTCGTTGACTTCCTCATTATGAACCTGTCTCCCAATCGACGAGTTCTTCCGTTTTACCATCCCTCTTCAGGATGAATTTGGACGGTTTGTAGGTCGATTTGTCGCGTTGTCTCAGTCATCGCACAAAAGATTTGTGTGTGTATGTGAAGTGCAAATCGTTTGAGGGTTTTGCGAGGAAAATATGTGGACATGACTTTTCGAAAAGAGACAATTAAGATGAGGGAGAAGCCAGACGACGGAATGAGGCGAACGGACGAATGGAATTGTAGAAGGAGAGAGAATTGGATGGAAGAAGAAGCTATTCAATTGCTTCTTCTTCTAGCACGATTGCATCAGCGTATGCAACTTTTTTCTCTCCTTATTTGATTATGAAAAAGCATAAAAAGGTGATGGCTGGGAGAAAAGTATTCTTTGAGTTTTTTACGAAACTGAAATTCCGTTTTTTGAAAAAAGAAAAAATAATACAATACAGAACTGAAAATATTGCGAAAGTTTTATGAGTCAGTTTCTAAACACTGGTTGAGAACAGAACTATTGAGTATTCAGAAATACCGTGAATCTTAGAAGGGCCGGTTTTTTATTGAGAGAGAGAGAGAGAGAGAGAGAGAGAGAGAGAGCCCTTCCATTTTCCAGTCAATTTTTTCGAGAAATTTCATCGAAAAATTCGGGGGAATTCGAAATTTGTGAAAATGAAATTTTGCAAATTTATGAAAACTTTAATAAAATTGAGCAATCTTTGAGCGAATTTTTGAGAAAGTGCCTCAATAAACTTCTGTGAAATTGTGGGATTCCCGAAATATTTTCACTGAAAATATACGGCAATTATTTTGGGCCTTCTATTGCAGGTGTCCTTCTATTATTCCAGAAATCTTTTGGAGGGCGCTTTTATTATTTTTGTCGAGTTCTGAAAATCTGAAGTTGAATTTTTAGTATCTACAGTATCCTGGTTGAGAAAAAGAATCTCGATTTTTTCAACTTGGCTCTGAATCCAACATTTTCTGATCAATAGAAATTAAAATTTCCAGTCAAAAAATTCAAAACATTTTCTCTCCACCACCACCCTAAAAAGTTAATCAGCTGATAATGCAATGGTTTATGTGGCTATTAACTTATCAAAAATATCACTTTACTTTTTTTGTTCATTTCAATCATCACATTTTAATAATAATACAGTCTTTCACTAGACTCTTTCTCACTCATTCCCATCGCCAGATTTGCTCCGAATCTTGTCAGTTGTGTTGATTACGTCAGAATGTCTTGAAACATCGGAGGTTTCGGTGAGTTTCAAAGTTCACCACCCTCTTTCTCTGTGCCTCTCGATCTTCCGTGCTCTTTCCGAGCATCTCCCAAAATAGTAGACAATATACAACAATCTGTGCGGTCATCAAAGGCGCGTGCGTGTCCGAAATGCAAATATGAATGGAAAGAAAGAGAAATTGTATCGAAAGATGGAAACTGAGGAATTAAAGAAAGAAACGAACGTACTGTTCTGTTCCGCGATTGCTCCGCGCACCGCGCCCTTTTGATACTTATCTTCTCTTTTATTCCGGGGTGGGGGGAGTCAAATATGGACACCTTTTTCTTATTTTAAATGAAACAACAACGCTTGACCCCTTCTCTCTCTTCTACGTCATTTTTTTCTCAATTCAAAAGATATGAATCTTGTAAGAAAACCCTCGAAAAGTGGTGTGAATTTGAAACTCTTTTTGCCTTTATATCCCCATCTCACAACACATATCCTCGTTTTCCAAATCTGTCCGGTTTCATTTCGTCTTTTTGTCGAGGAAAAGAGGATGGCGGTGAACACAGACTTGTTCAGTGTTCTAGATTATACGGTTCGATAAAAGTACAGTTTGCTTACTCCTGGTTTTCTCACCCAATTCACACATTTTTTCATGATGATACTTTTACCACATTCCTCTTTTTTTGTCGTTGAAATCTAATATAACCACCATGAATCACTAACCCCTATTTTTCAATCCATCAATTTTTAATTCCAGTCTGTCGCTAACCCAAATTCAATATTTTCTAAAGAATTTAAGATGTTTTCTAGAGCAACAAACTGATCCTAAACGCCTTTTCTTCAAAAAACAATAACCTGCACTAGAAGGACCTCTACCTTTTAACTTGAAGCTAATTTATCTCGATTCCTGTCAAAGTTATGATAAAGTTGTCCACTGATCGATTGTTTATCATAATATCATAATTGCTTTGTCAGTTGACACATGTTTGATATCTTGCATAGGAGCCAAGAAAAATCAGTTCAAACTTGACAGTGAATGGACCCCTTTTACTACAGGTTCAAGGGTAATCCTAGCCAAGCAAGGCATCATATATTAGGTTGGCGGGAAAGTCTTTGTCACTCTGTTTGTTTAATCACTGTTCTCGTATATGGAGGCTGTGTATGATATCGACTCTAGTGAATAACAAGGTGATAAGAACCTTCCATATAAACAAGTCCCCATTTCCTTCCCTGCTCCTCATCTGTAATTGAAACGATATGTTTGTTCCCACTGCTATTCACATCAGACATGTTTTGATTTACCTCTTCCTATCTCACACCACGATGAAGGATTCGGAAACTTTCTTGAAGAATGTGTACAACACACATGCCCCTCACTACAATACTATTCGCAATTGGTTCCATCGTTTCGAAAAAGATGACTTCTCGCTCGATGAAAAGGATCGCTCTGGGAGACCCCGTGAGTTGGATTTGGACAAGCTGAAGCACGCATTGCAATCGGATCCATTTCAATCTAGCCGTGAACTAGCTGTCACATTCGGAGTTCACCATAGCACAGTCCTTGAAGGTTTGAAGTCTCTTGGAATGAGAAAACTTTTTGGTCGATTCATACCTCATCACCTGACTCAAGCCAACCTTGACCGCCGAGTCGACGATTCGATTACTCTTCTCACTCTCCACGCGGGCGATCGATGGCTGGACCGGCTAATAACCGGAGATGAGAAGTGGGTCTTCTACGATAATCACCACAGGAAATCCCAGTGGGTTGGAGAAGGAGAGAGCCCACAGGATGTCCCCAAACCCGGCCTTCATCCGAAAAAAGTTATGCTCTCTGTGTGGTGGGGAGTGGACGGCCCCATCTACTGGGAACTTCTGCCCGAGGGCAAAACAATAACTGGAGACCTCTACACTACTCAACTACGAAACCTCAAGAAAGCAGTCGACCGTTCGGCCCTGAAAGACAAGAAAGTGTACTATCAACATGATAACGCTCGCCCACATGTTTCGAAACAAGTGAAGCAGGAGCTGATGGGATATGGATGGAATGTTCTCCCTCACCCCCCGTATTCTCCTGATCTTGCTCCTTCCGACTATTGGTTATTTGGCGATATGACACGTGCCTTCGAAGGAAGAAGCTTCAATTCCCGTGGAGCGGTCGAAGCGGCACTCAAACAATACTTTGCCTCACGCCCGGCTGGATTCTACCGCAATGGAATCCATAAATTGAGGGAACGTTGGAGACATGTTGTTGATAATGATGGACAATATAATTAATTATTCGGTTATTTTTTCTTTGAGAAATAAACTATTGAAAAAGTGACAAAGACTTTCCCGCCAACCTAATACTTTATTCCGTTTTGATTTTGAGAGCTCAATTTTTCTTCTATCCAATATCCTTTCTTCACAAAAGTTGCCTTATTTCATTTTCTCCACCTTCATCACCCGAGTCACATTTTATCGACCCCAAAAACTTATCAGAGAATCTTTTGACACTGATAAAAGCATTTTCATTTCCACGTCGTTTTCAACGCTTTCCTTTTCATTCACCTCAAATGTTTTCTCGTGACTTATTAGCAATTCAGGAAAATGTATTGTCTGGTTCTGTCAGTAGAATCGTTTTTTCCTGAACTTTTTTTTCCTGAACCTTTTTTGAACCTTATTTCGCAGAGAAGAGAAATGCAATAAAAATTTATATTTCATTTCATCATATAGACTGAATTAGAAGACTTCTTTCTAGAAATGCACATTTTATGTTTGGACTTAAAATCCTTCCGTTTTTTGTTCACATTACAAAATCAAGAGTTACTTTAAATACCTGTAATACCTGTAATAGAAGGCCTCCTAACTTTTAACTTTGGGTCAGTTTTTCTCGGTTCATATCAAAAATATAAAAAGGTTGACAACGGATAAATTAATCATAATATCATAATTGTTCTGTCAATTGACACATTTTTGCTACCACTCATAGAAATCGAGATAATTGAGCTCAAACTTGACTGTGTGGGGGGCCTTCTGTTACAGGTTTTAGTTGACTTTGAATTCAAAAAGTTTTTTTGCTATACCGTTATTTTATTTTCTCAATTCTTGAACTCAAATTGTCATCATTTAAAAGTTACGGAACAATTTCAGAAATACAATGATGTCGGAAGAGGCGCCCGCAGACAACGTGCTTCTGGGTTCACGACCAACTCTCGTTTCCACGAGAGCCGCCCATCTTTCTCCGAAACTCCAGAGAAGAGGATCGTCGTCAGCCCGAAAATTCGGTAAGTCTTCTCACACACGTGATGTGATGTGATATTCTCGGTGTTCGATCATCTTCTCTTTCATAAGCTTATCGTATTCTGTGAGTATGTGTTTGTGCGTAGATGACACTGACCTCTGTATTGACCCCGATGAATTTCTACTATGTTTGCGAGATGTATCCATTTCGCATCCGATTACTTCCTCGAT